GACACTAGAGCAAAGTGAACACTTATCATCTCCAGCATATTCAGATACTTATTTGCAGCTGTATAACACGCTCTAATTGACAACACTCCAGAAAGCCTTTGTTTGCCACCTCATTAGCCTTACATCTGTAATTCTGCAGAGTGTCTGGTTGCTCCAAATGATGCAACTATAGGGCTGTCAGTTTTGCCATCTTGACAGTAAAACAAATCTGCTATAAACTCAACATATCTTCTAAGCTAAACCATGATGAAAACATCCATAGTTTCTGATATCTTACACATGATTCAATATATGATTTTTTTAACCTCTCCTGGCCCCTTTTCTAATTTAAGGAAAAAGAAAGGATATTGTTGATGTCTTTGTTATAGAAAAGCAGTTGTAAAGGATGGATGGTTGTAAAGGATACTCAATGCACAGGATACAGACTCTTTAACAGATGGTGAGAAATAACTTCATACAAAAACGAGAACTTTTCCCCTTATGCAATAGTTTGCAAACTCAACACCCTCTGTAATTCACTAATGGTAGTGCCTAAGACTTCCAGCTTCGCATAAGAGTTCTTTTATTATTATTACTAGATAAAGTCCTCCAAATATCATTGGTTTGGATTCTATTTGTCATGGAAAGCCCAGGCACACAGAAGACACAGTTTTGCAACATTTTAAATGATATCATCTCTCTCTTTTATCCTTGAAAATACTCATTAAAATGAACTGAAAGATTTAAATTTTTAAAAATAGTCTCATATTAAAAGCATCTTAGATGGCCATATATTCTATTACAGGAGTTTCCCTAACTTTTTATATTCTATGCCCTTCTCTGGCAATCTGGTGAATCTATGAATCCCTTCCCAGAGTAATGAAGCTATATTAAAATACACAGGATTTAGAGGAACCCAATTGTATTGAAATATAATAATCAAATCTGTTTAAAAAAAAAACCAAATCTGTGACTCAAAAATATTTTTTTTGCTTCTTTATTAATTCAATAATTATAATGAAACATAATAGTAGGCCTAGAAACTATCATAATTTTTGAAGTACAGTTGATTTACAATGTTACATTAGTTTTAGGTGTGCAGCATAGTGATTCAATATTTTTATACCACACACAGTTACTGCACTATTCTTGACTATTTTCTCTATGCTGTACTTTATATCCCCATGTCTAATTTATTTTAGAACTTGCAGTTTGTACCTCTTAATCCCCTTCACTTATTTCACCTATCTTTCTACTCCCCTCCCCTCTGGCAACCACTGGTTTGTTCTCTATATCTATGAGTCTGTTTCTGCTTTGTTATATTTGCTCTTTTGTTTTGTTTTTTACATTCCACATAAAAGTGAAAACATGCAGTATTTCTATTTCTCTGTCTGACATCATTTTGAAGTAGTGATATGTATCTGAATATGAATGGGATTGTACTGACCTCTTCTAGCAAATAACAAGCACTCTGAGAAAATAATACAGAATGCCTGGGTCTTTGCTGTCAATAGGTTCTAATAACGTATGCACCTTGGATACTCCTAAAAATTAGAAACCTGTTTCTTCTACAAAACCCTTGCCACTCTGAAACAGTAAGTAAATTCTACTCAATGTATAAAGCAATATGCATATGCATATTTACAGTTACTCAAAACAAAACAGAATGGTAATTCTAATTTTAAAGAATGCATATTGTTTTTAATCACTGTGGAACCACTGCAAACAATTTTTTTTCCACTGCAAACATTTTGAAGACTATTTCATTATCTCCCATCTTACAACCTCCTGTACTCCACGAACAATCTTTGTAATGAGCTGATTTGAAAACTAATTGCCAAAATCAATAGCCCTAAGCAGTGATTCCCAAACCTGGAGAATATCAGAATCATTTAGGGAATGTATCTGTTTCTTACTGCTGTTGTAACAAATTATCACAAACTGAGTGGGTTAAAACAACAGAAATTAATTTTCTTGCAGTTCTGGATGCCAGGAGTCCAAAATGAGTTTTACAAGGCTAAAAATAGGTGTGAGTAGAACTGGTTCCTTCTGCAGTCTCCAGTGGGTGTATCTGTTCCTGGCCCTTCCAACTTCTGGTGACTGACCACAATCCCTGCCTAGTAGCTGCATCACTCCAATCTCTGCCTCCATGGTCACATTGCCTTCTGCCCTTCTGGAATCTAATCTCCTCTGCCTCCCTCCTATAAGCACACATATGACAGCATTTGGAGCCCACCTAGATCATCCTGGATAATATCCCTATTCCAAGATTCTTAATCATATCCAAAAATGTTATACTCCAACTCTCTACACTTTTTTTGGAGAGATTTACCTCCAGTCATATCTAAAGTGCACTATCTGTTGCTGGCTTTGCACTTCAGCTGTTGAAAGAACTCAGTTGAATAAGACCTAATCTCTCCCAAGACCAGATATCAACACCACCATAAAACAAGCAAAGCTTTTTGCAGGGCATTACATTGATCAAAAGTGTACACTCCTTTCCAGTGGCTTCTCATCAACCTTGAGGTGAATTCAAACTTCCTCAGACAGAGGATGCCCTCCCTAGTGCGGTGCATGCCTAAATTCTAAACCGTCTTTCACCTCTCCCTTTCCCTGGCACACTAGAAGTCAGCCTAGGACTTCCCAAAGCATGCCAGAATAGCTCATAATTCCCCACACATTTCATCGGAAATGTCCTTCACCAACTGCCAATGTCTTATTCATTGTTCAAAACTCAGTTTGGAGTCTGTAGCTCAGTCCAGTTTCTCTGAAATATCCCTAAACTCTGGCAAACCCCGCCTCCTTTGTGTTCTTTACACATGTTGCTATTTGGGAACTTATAAGCCACCATTCACACTTTGCCTGCAGTTCTGTGTGAGTTTCCACCTCAGACGATAATCAGTTTTGTTCCACCAGTTCCTAGCACTGTACTGGCCCATATTAGATTGCTAAGGGCTGAATGCAGAATTTTGCCTCTACCTCTCCCTGCTTTTAAACCTACTTAGGAAACATTTGCTATGATTCACTTCTCACTAGGTCTACATACAAGCTCATACTCAGGGCTAGCTGCTCTTTAATATATATTTCTAAATGTAAAATAAAGGTGCTTCTCTCTATTAAATAAGTTGCAGAAATTAGTAAACATTCATGTTTCTGAGGATAGGAAGCCCACCTGACACCTGAAAACACACCCTGATGGTGTCCCTGAGTGATTTGCATAAAGAAATAAACCACGTGATTCACAATCTGCAGAGTCCCAGGGATGGAACGGATCTATTCTCACCACCTAATGATGGAGTATCTCTACACCATGAGATATGAGGGTGGAGACTTCATCTGAGCATACCTAGCAACCTCCCAAAGAAGCCCATTTCAGTTTTCACAAGTGTCCTTTTAGAAATTGTACACTTTGATACTTTTGAGCCCTCTGGTCAACATTAAATGAAACTGCAAAGTAATGAAGGAAGGAAATCCACCACGGTGACATTTAAATTAAAAAATAAGAGGCACAAATCACATTAAGACACCTTTTCTCTTTTTAATTTGAGACTCAAGAATGCTACGTAGCCTAAAATCGCCATATCTAAGATAATCAAGATTACAACAGGAAACCGTTTGAGCATAAATTGCTGTGGCAGGAAACTGATTAGTTCAGCAAAGAGACAGGATGCTTCTTGTCTCCACTGTTGTCTAAGTTAATTCTGTGCCTCGTCCATGGGCCCAGTGCCCTGAGATAAAGGATTACAAAGCTGTCTCATGAAAGCAGACTGAAGAACAATTAATAATAAATGCAGGGGTAATAGAAAGTACTGCCTGAAGTTGCAAGGAAGCTGAAATCAGTCAGCAACAGTGAGGGGAAAAAAAAGGGCCCTCACCTCATATTATGTAAAATGCTACCGTGATCTACAGAATATAAAGTCCTGTGTAATGTTTTGATAAGACAAGAAATATTACCAAAATAGGTTAGATAATGGCCCCATAAAGATGTCCACAGCCTAATTCCCAGGAACTGTGAATATGTTACCTTACAAGGCCAAAGGGACTTTGCAGACGTGACTAAGGTGAAGGACCTTGAGATGGGCATTTATCCTGGATTATCCAGGTGCCTCCAGCCTAATAACATGGTTCCTTAACATTGGAGGTCCTTTCCCAGATGGGTTCAGAGTCAGAGGGACATGTGACTACAAAATAATCACAAAGATGCCATGTTGCTTTAAAAGTGGAGGAAGGGGCCCGTGAGGCAAGGAATGGAGGTCACCTCTAGAAGCTGGAAAAGGCAAGAGGGCAGATTTTCCTCCAGAGCATTAAGAAAGGAATGTACCCTTTCAGTCCAGTTTAGCCCAGTGAGACCCATGTTGGATTTGTGATTACGTAAGTGTTAGAGAACAAATTCGTGTTGCTTTAAGCCATCAGATGTGTGATAATTTGCTACAGTAGTAACAGAAAGCTTCTATCTACCCATATTATTTCAGAGGTTTTACTCAAATGTGAAAAATGACAACCTGAAACCAACTGTCATAATTTCAAAAGTGACTGTTTAACGGGTACCCTAACACCTACACATGACTTATTTATAGGATGTTTTTCTGAGAGGCAGACAGAGAAGATCCTGAAATAGTAGATTTCAGGTAATGAAAAGAGTAGTGAAAGATTCATTAAGCACTGAAAAATAAAAACAAAAACCTGACAGATTATCAACCTCTCCCAATGAATCTGGCAGAACATATCATTCAATTTACCTGAAATTAAAACCCTTTATCCCTATAACCTTTCCTACCTTCTTCTCCACTTCTTCCCCCAAACCTGACTGTGAAGTGTTTTTAGATGAAGTTTTATAATAAACACTTATTGGCATGCATGTTTTCCAGAATTTATTACAGTGATAAAAATTATTAAAATTCAGTTTGCTAACTGAAACTTTGCTGTTGTTGAACCATGTGTCACGGATTCAGGTTTCAAGTCTTACTTTACACCTTGCGGTTTAAAAAAAATGGGTAGAGTTGCAAATTCTTCTTACTCACCACTTTGCAGCAAAGGGGCCAAAACCACCACATTAAACCGATGGCCAAGAGTAGCAGTAACACCAAAATCGCAATGAGGGCTGCAATCCCATTAGACTAGAAGAGGCAGAAAACAAAAACAAGGCAGTGAAGTTTAGGGACAAAGCCCAAAGACATATTTTTTAAGGAAACAGCAGAAAATAATACAGAAAGCATCATGATATCAAACCTGATTTCCATCATATTCCTTTAAATTCTTTAAATTGAAAAAATTATCTTATAACCTGTTTGTATTGTATTCCCTTTTATTATATTTATATTGTATAATATATAAATATATCATAACCTATTTGTATTAAATTCCCTTACATTATGTTTTATATATATTATGTTAAGACAGGCAATAACAACAGGGAACTATATTCAATGGCTTGTAGTAACCTATAATGAAAAAGAATATAAAAATAATATTATATGTATAACTGAATCACTAATATACAACACTGTAAATCAACTATATTTCAATTTTTAAAAATGGGGGGAGAAAAGGCAGGCAATAATAAATACGAAAAACTTCCAAAATGTTTTAAATTCGGCCCTAAAAAAAATAAGGAAAATTACAATTTGAGATTGTACAGATCATCCATATGGTACCTATCTTTTGTCTCTGGGGAAGGATTATTTTGGTTACAAGCATGATTACCACTAGGCAGAATTTATGCAGAATTTCCCCAGATTTTTTGATAATGGAACACTATTTACTTTATATATTTAAATGATAGGACAAAATGAATCTCAAAAATCACCAAGGAGATGACAAACAAACAATGATTCTTGTTAGCAAGTGGTGCATACCCATCTATGCAAGATAAGTGCATTCACTTATCAGAAGATCTCTCAGGGCAGCTCAACCACTCCCCACACAAGAACCACACTGGTGTTCTTTCACTTCTTAAGGACGAACTCCTCCAGCCCTAAGGCACCTGCTGTGGGCTCTGCCTCCTACCCCCTTCACCTACCAAGTACCTATTCATCAGAGTTTAGCTTAAGCCACTTCCTCTGAAGACTTCCTTGTAACCACTGGCTAGAAAATGCTCCTCCTTACTGTACAAAGGATAGTTCTCCACACTTTAATATTTAGCATTATCACAATTTATGTATTGATTATTTGCTTATTTTTGAGGTGAACAACAATTATTTATTTAATTTGCCTTTTCTCTCTTTGCTGTGAGCCCTAGAAAGGCAGGGCCCATGTCCAACTTACTTACCAGTATATACTCCATGATCAGCATTTAAATCTATTTACTAAGAGAATGAATTCCAAATAAATAAGACTGCAAAAGTCACAAACACACATAACAAAGAGTGTTTATTTTTTTTTTAGTTCAGAGATAAAAGTTTCCAAGGGAACAAGGTGTCTCTTCCAAATCCCACTCTCCAGGATCCCCAGTCATCATGTTTTGTTCGTGTTTTGGTTTGTTTTTTAAGGGAAATATTTCAAGGAAGAACAAAAATAACTGTAAATAAATCAATACACTCTCTGGATGGAAATTTGGGCCTTTATAAGGCAGCTTTTCAGAGATACATTTACCGTCATTCAAAACAAATAAGACGTTTAAGCCCAGAAGTCAAGGAGGGAGCCATATGTATCCCAAGAGCTAACAGAGAGGCTGGGGTCGGGTGGGAAGAACCTGTCAGTATCCATCTTAGAATGGTATTGTCTTAAAAGTAGTTTAGTCTAGGAACATTATTCTGAACACCAGAAACTGACACATTGTAACTGACTATACATCAGAAAAAGAAAAAAAAGCAGTATGTGGGTCTAATGTTAAGCAAATTCTTGGTGCCTCTGTTTTCTAATCTACAAAATAAGAAAGTCAGCTGTTCCCAAGGCATGAAACTCTGTGGCAAAGGATATTGCTCTTTAAAAAGCACTGTGCACATTAACATATTTTTAAAGCTCTGGATGCTTTTGTAGTAAAAAAACAAAAATAAGTCCAAGTTGTATCAGCACAGAATCTTTTTTTTTTTTCATAACGTTATCAATATCCTACAGAAGTAGGATTCCCTAGAATCCATTTTGGGAAATGCTAGGATTGAACAAAGCTAAGAGGCTTTCTGATGTTGAAGCAACAGTGGTAGTAGGATTTAATCAGAACATTTAAAAATGGAATTTGAATTGCAATACATAATAACCTATGCACAAAAAGAGCTAACAATCTTTATGTAGACAGTTATTTGTAAATAACTGAAGAGAGAAGGTAGTTTTCAGAAATAGTAGAGAGTGCTAGCAAAATATACTTGGTTTAGCTGATCAGAAAAATCTTGAAATGTGTGTCATCATTTCCCTATAAAATCTGATATTTTCACAATGGAAAAAAAAAGAGAGAGATTACCATAGAGTAGATGGAAACTATCTCCAAACAAATCAATTTCCAAAGATATTGGTTATTAGTAGCCTTTCAGTTTTAATAAATCTATTAAAAATAACTTTAAAAATAATTCTCAGAGCAGCATAGACCATAAAACATCCATTAATTTCAGAAATTTTTAGGAAAAGATTAAGAATCAAGTATACATGATCAACTAAAGTATCCTTTGATTTCTAATTTTGCATCTGAATGTAAGAGGGGATAACCACACAAAATATTTATATAGCAGATGGTAGGCTGCAAATTAACCAAAAGAGACACCACCAAAATACCACCTAGAATCTTTATCATTTCATTTGTTTTTCAGAAAACAACGAAAATAACTACAGAAACTTTACATACACAGACACACACACACACACAATATCTTCATAGAGCTTTACCATTTACCAGTAGACCATTCTTAAGGCACTTCAAGATGTTATCAAATATTTATCATAAAGAATTATTTTAAAATACAAGAAATGAAAAGACATGCATTCATCTAGCAACTTCTTGATGTAGAGTTTGGTAGAATGGAGATGTAAGCTCGGCATGTGGTTACTGATGTGTCCTAAACATCTAAATCAGTGTCTTGCACATAGAAAGCTGCATGTGTATATGTGTGTATGTGTGTGTGTGTTTGATTCAGAGAGAGAGAGGAGGGAGATAAATACCTTGCAGAAATTTTCCAGGCAAATAATCTAAGTTCTCTGTCCTCAAAACCAAAGAAAGTAATTCAGAACACATATGACACTTATGAAATACTCCAAGGGTATCTTTCTACCCAGAATTCTAAACATTCAAGAAGAAATCATGCAGCTCCCCACAGGCTTGATTACACTAAGCTCTAAAATCTGGACAAATAAGAACATAACAGGAAAGGAATGTTAAAGAAATACATAGAAAACTATAATATCCTTCAGGACGAATGTTGTCAAATCTATAAATTCATGATTCCACCTTCAAATATAAGGTCTTATATAAGATAGCCCCAATCTGTGACACGTATGGAATGTAAACAACATTCCCCACCAGACCTTCCCCACATGAGGATCGAGCCACAGCACCCATGGAAATGGCTCACCGCTTGGCTGTTCTACACAACTTTCTAAAGGGTTCTATGAACATTCGTTTCCCCCTTTTCTTAGAATCAAGTCCTGTGTTCAGAAATAAGGATGTGAAACTAGAGGGTGTGAATATACTAAAAGTTTAGTGGTTAGGGTTTTCTTTCTACAAATGTGTCATGAGCAGGGAATTTGGAAAATGATACTGATGGAATATAAAGTAGATGGGGTGGCCATGACAGGCAGTTAAAATTCTTGGATTTTCTGTCAAAAAATGCCCCATTAGGAACACTGACAAAACACTATGCACATCCAGATGTAACTCTACATTTAATGTGACAGTATTCTCTCAAATGATTGCAAAGATCTGTCTATAAGAATACTGACTATGAAAACACACACTTTTGAAAGACCTACAGACCTAATCTTTATCATATTAAGCTAAGCATGATGGAAAACAAGTCAGAAGAAGCAAAGAATTTAATGCAACCCAACCTCATCATAAACACAGCTCTGGAGACCCTGGTCCCAGACACTAGCTCGGCTAATTGGATACAAATCGAGGCTTTCCCAGTTCCTTTGTTTAGATTTGCCGAAGCCATTAACAGAGCATGAAAGGCTTCAGTCATGAAAGGGAAATCATTCCATTGTTCACATAACTTAAGAAACAATTAAGGAAAGGTCAAACACATAGACTTCAGTCGCATGAGCAGACACCATGCTGAAAACTGCAGACTTCAGAGTCAGATGGAACTAGCTATGATGATGCACAGATCTGTATCACAGGTGGAAGCTAAAAGCTTCACTCCTGTTTAGGCAGTGCTGCTCTTTAAATACTAGATAGTTAAGGAACTGCCAAAGCGATCGTGTGAGATGAGTCCTCATGAAGCCCACGGGTTAGTTGGAGAGATAACCCTTGAACAAGTGAACAAATAATCAGAACCGTGAGGAGTGTGGAAGGAGCGCACAACAGAAACAGGGCAAAGTGGGAACTAGGCCGTGTGGGCTTCGAGAGGGCCTCCTGAGGAAGAATATGGAAGCCCAGGAAGGGAGTCAGGGCAGAAGCAGTGGCTTCTTGCAAGAACAAGAAAAGACAACTTTGGCTGGAACACAGTTTGGTGGGGTGGAGGGGCAGTTGTTGGTTGCAGCTGAAGCAGCTGAAGAAAATACAGGAAACACAAATTTTTGGAAAGCAGCAATCTCTTTATTACAGAGACAATTGGCCACTTGTTGGATTAATGTCCATTTGTTAGATGACTTTCCAATCGGCCGTTTGTAGGATCAATTGTTCCTAACTAACCATAGTTCTGACAGGCAGCATTTTCAAGTGTCTACAAAGACAAGTTAGCTGAGGAGTCCGGTTGGAGACTTGGTACCCACATGGTGATCAAGGTTGTGAAGCCAAAACTCTCTTAAGGTTTACCTGGGGACACACCAGACCCTTGAGCTTGATTATAGGGTAAAAGGAATATGTATTTTCTAATCATCCTGGACACATTCGGTTTTGAACTTCATCTGCACCTAACTTCCTTTTCTTTATCGAAAACAAGTTATTATGTTCAATCAAAAACTTTAATCTGCCAAACAGAACTGAAATTCTAGCTAACAGAATCATAGAAGTGTAAAAACAAATCAGAGT